TTTTGTTCTCTCCGAAATTAATATTGCAGCAGAAATGACAAGTCAGTTTTCTATGCCAACCTACGTTTACCACTCGGCCATGTGGCAGAGGGGGTGGGATTGCAGTCTATGTTCGTGACAACTGGTCGATCAATAATAATAATTTAATAATAATATTTTTTTTATTCAACATTGCAAATAATAATAATAATATTAATAATAATCAATCAATCAATGTTTCAATCAATGTTTATTAAAGTGTCCAGGAACAACCAATCGGTCTTAGTGCTGGCACACTAAAAAAATGAACAAATACACACACATACAAACACGCATACACACGAGTGCAGAAGGAGAACGTAGTTCTTTAGTCTGAGAATAAAAATATTAACAAGTATGAAAGACACTCAAATCAACAAGATAAATCAAAAGCACACAACAGAGACATCACCAGGTGTAAGAGCAAAAAGCACATACTACATCAACGCTTCAACTGATCAGCCCTTTTCCTGCAAGAGGAAGATTTGAACAGCATTTCCGAACTTGCTCCCGCATAAGTTAAAAATATCAATTGTGTCAGAGTAGCGATTATAACACTCAGCCGATCTTTGTATCGGGTTTAATTGGCTAAAATGTCGAGCTATATAAAAACATGATTGTAGCCGTGTAGGCACACGTGGAACTCTGAAGCTCACTTCAGACAGAAGGCTGGGAGAGTTAATCGAGCCGTGCAGGGTCTTAAACAAAAACAACAAATCTGCCTCCACCCGACGCTACTGCAGGCTCAACAAGTTGACAAGTTGCGAGTTACACACACTATTCAGACAAGGAGCACCTTTCTCAAGGTAACGATATTTAAAGATAGAAATAAATTTGTTTTGGACTCGCTCGACTGATAAACTGTTAGTTTTGGGAATGCCGTTCCAAACAACCGAGGCGTACTCTAGCTGGGATCTAACTAAGGAACAATACAGCGTAAAAAAAGGGGACGGGCTTTTGAATTTCTTCGTTATGCGAGACATGACACCTAACGTGCGCAAGGCCGATTGAACCATTCTGATAACAGGAGTGTCAAATCTCAGGGTTGAATCAAGACAACTCCAAGGTCCCTCAGTTCACTTACACGTGACAGCAGTTCGCCATGATAACTATATGGAAAGAATATATCATGGGTCTTGCGAGAATATGTCATTACTTTTGTTTTAGAATGATTCAAACGGAGGTCATTGTCTAAACACCAAAGACCGAAGGAATATGCGTCATTCTGAAGCGCGGTGCAATCCTCTAAGGTCGATATTTTTTTGTAAAGTTTTATATCATCAGCGTACTGCAGAAATGAAGAATTTAATATAACTCGAGAGTCATCATTTACAAAAATATTAAAAAGGAGGGGGCCCAACACAGATCCCTGAGGCACTCCAGAGCTTGCCTTGTACAAGGACAAGGTAGTATTGTTGACGCGGACGTAGGCTTGCCTATCAGACAAATAGCTTTTTAACAAATTGTATAGCGAACCACATACTCCGTAGGAGGAAAGCTCGTTTAGGAGGATGTTGTGGTTGACTACGTCGAATGCCTTACTCAAGTCGAAATAAAAAGCGTCAAGCTGACCTCTATTACAAACTACTTCAGAGGCAGTAGACGTTAAAGATACGAGATTGGTGGATGTCGATCTGCCGGACATGAAACCATGCTGATTAGGAATGACTATACTACGAAACTTGAAGGAGAGGAATTGATAGATTACCATTTCAAAGAGTTTGGAAACAGACGAGAGAAGAGAAATCGGTCTGTAATTAAGAACATCACCACTATTTCCAGATTTCTGGACCGGAACAACCACTGCCAGTTTCCAGTCGTCAGGGAATATCCCTGACGTCAAGGAGTTATTGAAAATTGTGCACAGTATAGGCGTAAGTAATTCATGATAACCCTTAACAATTGCAGCGGGTATCCGTCATGACCTGCAGAAAATGTGGGTTTCATTTTCTTAATACATAACCTAACACATTCCTCATCGACAACCACAGAACCCAATGAGTCACCAAGTACGTCCGAGTGAGGCAAAAGAGTTGAGGAGCAGTTATTATTATTAATGTAAACTGACGCAAAGTGATCCGCAAAAAAACTCAGACATGCTCTTCGCACTGCCGCTATGCTGATTCAAGATGATTTCGGACTCAATATTCTTCCCCAAGCGCGATTTAGCGTACCTCCAAAAATTTCTTGGGATTATTAACAAGATCTCATTCTACCGAGTCAGAATGCGCCTGGCGATCACGGTTTAAAATTTTCTTACATCGCTTTCTGCAAATTTTAAATTCAACTTCCCACTTTGGAAGACCACTTTTCTTAAACCTCCTGTGCAAAAAATCTAAAAAAAATCAAATAATAACAATAATAACAACAACAATAATAATAATAAACGACTAACCTCGATGGCATACAATTTGTTTCTCATGCTGGCCTGCACTACACCGGTAATACGCTTCAGGTCGTCATCGTAACTGATCCGCTTGACATAGTTTAATTATACGGCGTTTTCGCCCCTCTGAACCAATGTCTGAACTAAGCTGGGTTCTTCACAGAAAAAATGTACGTATTGTGGAGGCCTCTACGGCCAGAGCGATGCACTTGATTTTGTCGCTCGTTTACTGACGCAATTCAATGAAGATGCCCGCTGCAACAGAGTCCAGCAATTTTATCGTGTCGTCTGCTACCAAAGCAAAGCGGAGTGCAATACTTCAGAAATGGCTTTCATCGTTGCAATACGACACTGAGACGATAAGAACATCTTCACAGTTAGACATCAAGAAGTTAGGTTGTTTACAAAAAACTATTTACTTTGAAGCAAAAATCTAGCCTTGTGTGGAGTCTCCATGCATTAGTCCATAGCAACGTCCCTAACAACGGTTTGTTCGGACCCAGACTTCATGTTGTGACGTATTCACTTACGGGGTCAATCGAGCACGATGCTCCTGAATCGACTTCAATCGGGACTTCCTGCCCTTGAATCTGCACTTCTATGATGAACTTTTCAGCCTGGTCACGCACTTCGCATATAGAAAACAATGCTCTCATTTCAGCGATGCCCCTGTTCTTTCCCTGCCGCTTACGCAAGTCAATTGGCTTCCGCGACGCCTGACTCTCGTCTTTTCAACGACATGCTTTTGCCACGTGTCCAACCTTTTTGTATTTGAAACACGCAGCGTTTCTAAAGCGGTACACATGGGGTTCGTGATTACCATTGCAGCGGAAGCATCTGACGCCGTTTGCCGTGGTGTCCAGTTTCATGCGTGTCGCTTGAATCAGACCCTCGCTCTTTTTAATTCCGTCTTGAGCTTACTTGCGTATATTGTGCTGCTGCTTCGCCTTTGCTTCCGCCGTCAGCGTCATGTCGTACGCAACCTCGAACGTAAGGTCGTGTTGTGAGAGCAGCCGATGTTGAATCGCTTCGTTCTTGATGCCGCATACGAATGGGTCCCTCATCATGACGATCCAGTGGAAGCTGTTTGTCACCGAAACCGCAGTCTTCAGCCCGCTTACAGAGCGCCGTAACATACTCCTATACCGCCTCACCGTGAGCTTGGTTTGTTCGGTAAAATAAGAATCTTGCGTACAGCTCCGAAGGCCTAGGAAGCATGTGCTTCCACACCGCCCCCTTGATGTCGTCGTAGCTTGCCGCGGTCGGTCCTGCTGGCTTGACTAAGGTCACGATCTGTCCGTACGTGTCCTCGCCGCAACAACTAAGCAGAACCGCTCGCTTCTGCTCGTCCGTGGTTATCTTGTTGGCAGCACAGAACATCTCTAGCCGTTCGACGTATGCATCCCAGGACGCATTCGTGCCGAGTCGGTATTCGCCGATCTTGCCTACCGACATTTTGCCTTACTCGAACGGGACTCGCCCGTCCGCGACCCGCCTCGTCACCAATGTAATGGATCCTTCAGACAGCGCGGTTGGAACAAAACAGTGGTTTATTTCCGTATGAGCGTTTATATCACTGCACGTGTTATGATAAGCGAACGCGGCTTGCGTTGGAGATAGGCACTGATAGCGATAACAACGATTATGTATTGTCACTACATGACAAATTGCCTCGAAGTTCAGTCTTTCCACGCGATCAAAAGTGCCGTTGTCCTATCGTTTTGTCAATATACTTGCGTGTTTAACCTTATGCTAACTTTTAAGAAGGTTCATCACGGCTTGGTGTAAAGCAAACTAGACCACACAAACGAACAAAATACATCTTCCCTTCGAAGTGTACTAGATATACGAGGCTCGTGCAAAATGTACATATGGCTGATCTGTTTAGGTAGCACGCAATATCAAAACCAGGAGCGTCATGGATTGCACGTATGCGCTACGCATTTCAGAAGAAGATTTATTGCGCACCGGCCCTTCGGCTTATAACATCGGCCGCGCTCGGACCTAAGCTGAAACAAGGTATAGCCAAGGGCAGGATTTTACTTGAAGTCTGACTGTTGTAGATGCTATGACCCGACGGAGTGAGTCGAGTAGCGCAAAACGAAATGCATCGTCATCAAAAACGTCGTTTTTTTGTATTACGGGTTGAATTTATTACGCACATATATTCCCAGAATAACGGCACATTCACTGTGCGCGATTTTTTTAGCCGGTGTAGCAGAATGAAGGACGGCCTGACGGCGCATGAGGAAACACTTTTGGCGGTGGTTGTTTGGGTCGATCCGACCTTAGCGCTGACTGTGGTCGGAGTTAATAGTAAACAGAGTATGGCAATCATTCGCATGCTTCGTACTTATTACATGGATGTACGAAAGGCTGTGCTTTTCATAACGGCCTGTACCTTCCACCATCTGACCTAACGGATACAAAAATTATGATTCCTTTTGTCCCAGGACGATGCATTTCTAAAACGAATACCGGGTCATTGGGGTGCTCGCTAAAAATGCGTCACGCGATTAGGCAAAAAAAAAAAAAAAAAAAACATAGACCAATGTTGCTACATGGCTTTATAAAAAGGGCTGATGGATGCTACTTTTTAATACGCCATAGCTGCCCCATCCCAGCGGGGATCGCTTCCGAACCAGAGAAAGACGTCGTCACCCTCGGCGTAGCTTCCGGGTCCTCGAACTCTTGTCCACCAGCTCCCCCTGGTGGTGACGTGGACCGAGCCCATGTTACGCCTGTTCACGCCTCTAATAGTACCACGGAAGCGGTGACTTTTTTCTTCCAGCCCCTGAATGACTTCTGGAGACAGGCCCTCTTCCAGTGTAAGTCCGGCGCTGCGAAAATGTCAGAGGAGAGGGGAAAAAATCTATTAGCTCAGCGATATTTCGTGGCACCCTCCTATGGCTTCTATATGTGACACCAATACAAATATCTGCTTTGTGATGACGTCACAAATGATGAGCACAAGGTGTCTGTTTCACTTTAGGCCCCACCGCAGGTGGCGCTGCAATTTGAAGGAGCCACTCAAAATGTGCCTCTTCACGGCGCTCATTGCCTTCGCGCCTTGCTATCACCATATTGCACGCACAGCGAGTGGCCCGCAAACCTGCGCTATCTTTTGTCATAATGGGCTTAGTCGTTCATTACAAACCCTCAAATAAAATGACCGACGCCGTGACGCACGTATGGCACAACTTGATTTGCTCCTGCAGAACCCAGGGATCCTGGGTTCGAGCCCCTCCCCTGCCCGTTTCGATCTGGATGAGCATCGTACCGGCGTGCGGTCGTGTATCACTACTGCGTGGCGCACGTTAAAGACCCCAGGCTAGCGGTTTGTACCGCACTGGCTAAATTTCTCATCTACAGCTGGGAGACTCGTCGCCCCTGTGAGGCAGACCAAGTTCTAGGCTGTATAAACACACACACAACCCAAATTTTTTTTTTGATTTGCTCTATTCAATCGTCGCCACAGCTGCGGCCGGTCTTAGAGGGGCAGGGCAACGATTTTATGGTTGAAATAATTTACCGTTTATATTCTTATGTTGCTTATTGCTCGACAAGTAAACGAAAAAATATGAACCCTTACCCCGGAAATCCGACAATTCCGCTGCGTAATCGCAAAAAAAAAAAAAAAATTATTTGCAGATTTGCCGCCACGTGTCGCGGATACAAGAACTGCTGTTTGATGTACTCTGGGGGATCTCGTCTGTCAGTTAGCGATTTGTGCAGTTCTGTGCGCAATTTAAGGTATTTTATAATCATGTCGTTTCAGCAAGAGAAATGCGTGAAAGTCTAGTATTATCCTTAAAATTATTAAATTGTCGTGGCGCCATCTACCGGAAGTCAACAAAACCATCCCCACACTGAAGCCACCCTCCCCGTCGTTCCCGGGTTTGCTTGTGCTGCATCTCAGACATGTTCTTTCCGCGCGTGTGGGAGCACAATAACGATGACCAAAAAGACGAAGAATTTTGTGAGCCAACGCGCGAGCGATGATAGAACTGCATGGTGGTTGTGGCTTGGTCTACCTAGTAGTGGCTCTAGGTCTACCCAGAGGTCTGCCGATGTCCCGTTCTGTGCCAAGAGCCCACCTTGCGTAAATAGTTTTCACTGTATTACTGAGCAAGTCTTCACCAAGAAATTTGTTAACGTAGACAAATGTTTTAACAGAAGGAGAGGATTTATTACACGACGTTTCGGAAAGAGACTTCCCTTCTTCAAGTATCTTGAAAATACAGTTGCAAAGCAAACAGCATCAGCAACATATCGGGTAATGCCCTAGCAGTTTGGTTTGTTCGAGAACCTGATAGGAGTCTGAACTTTCGGTTTCTCGCGTTTCCCAACGTACGACCGTATCGCCCGCGGGGATCACGGGCGATTCCTATCGGTTGCGGTGTTTCGCTGTGCTCAAATCAGAGTTCCCTGTTTGTAAACCAACATTTCCTCAATCATCGTCTATAGCACGAGAAACCCCACGGCGGTGCGTGGTGGCAGAAACCAACACGCCATGACGCCGAGTTGGTTGAGAAAACGGTTGAGACGGTGTTAAGAATAACAGGAGGAGCGCGGGAAGACCAAAAAACAGGGGCCACAGAGCCATTACGGAAGTGTCATGATCCCCCAGAGACGTCACTGCGCACGTGACTCAGAAGTGCTCTGTCGCCGATGCACGAGTAGAGAGGTGCCGAAAACTTTAATCTTATATTTTTATTTAAAAAAAAAAAAAAAAACTAGCGCGCGGAATAAGAAATGTTTTTCTGCTCTTGGATCTAAAAATGACCGACTCCAATTTTCACAATTATCTGGCCGAAGTTTAAAAATAGATGCATCGCCCCTGAAACGTGAAGCGGAGTACACCTACTTATTATCGGCTGCGAACAACAAGCTTGACGGTGCGTGTAAGAAAGAAAAAAAAATCGCGGGAAGCTTAAAGTAAGTGCATCCGGAACCAGTATTGCCGACATTGACAGATCGGTATTGTTTTTTTTCTTTTTTTTTAATCCAATGAAAGCAGCATTGATAAATTTTAAGACGGCGTAGAGGGTGTTTGACCAATCGTACAGGACGCACCTCACCGACGCTTTTGGTCGCGCAACTGGCAATGATACAACGCAGGGGATCATCATCCGCGTTCATTCGCACATCCATCTTCGCGCCTGTTACTCGGGCGCTAAGTGCAGCCATAGCTTCCTCTATTAGCGGCGAGATGTTTTGGTGGCACCCTTGTTTGGTTACCTTTCGTGACGCCATTACCTTGCGAACAACGAGTTCGATAATGTTTGTATTGAGCATGGTGAAAGCCTGAAATCATAGCGCTCTCAAAGCAACACTGCCAACACCGTCCAAATGGAAGTTCTTTCATTCCTCTTATATGCGTCCATGAGAAATCCTTTGCTGACGTTATAGTCAGAAATTCGGCCAATCGTGGGAGGCCCAATACAGCGACGCTTTCGATCGCTCACGTCGCCAATACTCACAACGCCTGGCAGCTGGACGGCGGAGCCATAGAGTGTCTTGTCGCCGATTTAGAGCGCGAGGATCTTGCAGCAGAGATCATCAAAGAACCATTTTTCGGGAAACCTTGACGTCAGCACACGGCTTTTTTTAGCGCGAGGACCCTAAACACACTTGTTCGCTCGGGAGAAGTGTGTTTCGGCGTATCTACGCAGCGGGGCGCCAATCACGTGGCTCTCCTCTCGTACGTTGTCTGCCGCTCCTACTTTTCCGTCTGGGCAGCCGCTTCTCGTGGCGAACTGCCGGGCTTTGTGAGTATACAGGCGGCTATGATTGTCGCGCAACGCCCACTCTTCCCACGTTCTCTAAATCTATCTAAAGTTTACTTATTTGGTGGCTTTCGGTGACGCTCACAAGTGTTTAGTTGAAACTATCTGTGTTTCTTAAATATTAAAAACAAATTACCGATTTCTACATAATCAAGTGACTTATCATGACGATTAGACTCTCATATTATGTCCTAATGGCAGTTTGACTCATCTGGACAGATCGTACTAATGTAGCTTTCATGGCTTAAAACAATCTGCAAAGTCCACAAAACGCCATGTAATAAAGAGCGATCCATTGCTTTATATGGTCCTCCTCGCCGACGTTTTTCAAGAGAATGGCGCTTAGCCGGAAGGAGAGATTCTCGGAAAAGGTGGGCGGTTTGAGCCGGTCAATCACGTCGCCACGTGAGCTCACGTGGTATCATCGCTGGCCGGCGCCTTCGCTCAGAAATCAGCTAGAGGAAGAGAAGCTGGGAGATGGGGATTCGCGTTACCTTTTCTTTTACAGTGGTTTTTGACTGGCCCACTGCACAATGGCGGCGGAGCCGTCATAGCGGAACGTACAAAACTAAAAACCAACATGAGATGGTGATGAAATGAAAATACATTTCGTAGCACCTCCAACCTGAGCGCAGCCGACGCTGGAACACGAATGGACCGAACAAGCCACGTCAAAAGCGAAATGTGATAACCTTCGTCATATTTTTATTCGTGTTCAAGCATCTGCTGAATTACTGAAGCGTATCTTTCCTGCGTGTTTGTATTTGCTTGAACCTAAGACTGCGTTCCAAGTCCTGGTTCTAGGCCTTGCCAAGTGGCTGGACTCTGAATTCAGTTTTGTGGTCAGGTGTTAAAAAAATAAAGGTAAGATGTACAATAAAATGCAATCCAATGTCTGATGTGTGGTTACCTTGGGGGGTAGCGTATTTAGTTCCTCTGAAATGAGGTGATGAAAACGTTCATTTAAACTTAGGTGAAATGTCAGTCCCCAAAGCGGGCACCACATGAGCCAGACATCACGCTACTGGCAGTCCGCAGAGAGGTTTGAGCGCGAGTCATCGCAAGAGCCGTGCCCCGAATAGCACGGGGCAGCACGTTCAAGAAGGAACTTGGCACGCGCCACCCCAACCGCGAATACTGCGGCGACTCCAGTCTGTAGGCTGCCCCTCTCACGATGCCTGAGCAACGCGACCCCGGCCTAAGGACACGACGCGGCGCGTTCGCTTTCAAGCGTGGTGTCTGCATCCTTGGCGGCGTGAAATAATAATGTGTATTATTACGACGAAAGAGAGAGAGAAAAATCTTTTATTGGCGGAATATGCGAATTCCTTAGAGTGCGGTCCTCGTTGTGGCCGTTGTGGCGGCGACCTCCTTTGCCCTTTCCACCAAGGCGCTTTGCACCTCTGGGTCGGAGCTTCGGAGCGAGGTCTCCCACTCATCATGGGATGGGATTGAGGGAAAAGGGTCTTGTGGGCAAGCCCATATTATGTGGGGCAGAGTGGCTTTGTCTCCACATAGGGTGCATTCCGAGGTGGGGTACATTGAGGGGAAGATGTGGGTGAGGATAGCGGGGTTAGGAAAAGTGCCCGTCTGGAGTTGGCGCCAACTGTGGGCCTGCTCCAGGGTAAGGGACTTGTCGGCTGGCGGGTAGACCTGACGGGAGAGGAGGTAGTGTGTGGTGATTTCATGGAAGCTGGATGGACGGTCCCTGGTGGATCTGGCCCCGTGATAGGGATGGAGGCTAGGCCCTGCCGGGATAGTGTATCCTCGGGCTTGTTCATGGGCCGCTTTGTTTCCCTCGAGACCAGCGTGCGCGGGTGTCCAGACCAGTCTGACGGAGGTCTGGGGCGGGTTTCTGAGAAGAATTTTGAGCGCTGGCTTGGAAATGCGGCCAGCTGCGAAATTTTGAAGGGCGGTTTTGGAATCCGTGATGATCACTGAGGGGGTTGGGATCACAGTGAAGGCGAGGGCTATGGCTACCTCCTCCGCCGTTTCTGGGTCAGTGGTCAGGACGGTGACAGCGTCGATGGGGGTGTGTAAGTTGTCAGTCA